CTTAAGAGATGGGCCAAGGACCTCAATAGACATTTTTCAAAAGAGGAAATCCAAATGGCCAACAGACACATGATATGCCTGACGAGGAGAATCTGATAGGTGACAGAATAAAGGGCAGTGACCTAAAGAGGCTCCTGTAAGAGCCTGTGTAGAGGCAAGCCAGAGGGAGAAAAATTGGAAGCCCTGCATAGAGATAATAACTTTATACTCCAGACTAAATTCCATTCAATTTTCATTTTATTTTTATTCTTATTTCATTTTTTAATTGTTCATTTATTTATTTGAAAGCAGAGAGAAAAGGAAACACCATTCACCTTCCGATTCTTTCCCCAAATACCTGCAATCGCTGGCAACCATGTGCCAGGCAGTTGATCAATACTCCCTTAAATGATGAGGACCCCATAATGTGAGCCATCACCTGTTACCAGGGTGCACAGCAGCATGAAGCTGGAATCAGGAGCAGAAAAGAGACTCAATCCCAGTCACTACAACACAGCATTGGGATGTCCACAAGGTTTTTTTTTTTTTTTTTTTTTTTTTTTTTTTTTGCCCTATATTGGAGTACTTGGATTTGATTCCCAATCCGACTTTTGACTCCAGTTTCCTGCTAATGCAGACTCTGGGAGGCAGCAGTGATGGCTCAAGTAATAGTGCTCCTGCTATCTATGTAGGAGACCTGCATTGTCTTCCCATCTCCCAGCTTTGGCCTAAGGCCAGCTCCCCCTACTCCCAGCCCCCATTATTGTGGGCATTTTGAGGAGTGAACCAACCAGTATTCATCATACTTGCTTTAAAATCTTCATCTGATTATTCAACACCCCTGCCATAGTTGTTTCTAATGCTTGCTGTCTTCAAACTGTGATTTTTTGCCTTTTAGTAGGTTTATATTTTTTCTCAGACATAATGTATCAGGTCAAGGAACTGCTGCAGATAGGTGTTTTTTTAACTTTTATTTAATGAATAATAATTTGCAAAGTACAGCTTATGGATTACAATGGCTTCCCCCCCATAACGTCCCTCCCACCCGCAACCCTCCCCTTTCCCACTCCCTCTCCCCTTCCATTCACATCAAGATTCATTTTCGATTCTCTTTATATACAGAAGATCAGTTTAGCATATATTATGTAAAGATTTCAACAGTTTGCTCCCACATAGAAACACAAAGTGAAAAATACTGTTTGAGTACTAGTTATAGCATTAAATCTCAATGTACAGCATACTAAGGACAAAGATCCTACATGAGGAGTAAGTGCACAGTGACTCCTGTTGTTGACTTAACAAATTGACACTCTTGTTTATGGCATCAGTAATCACCCTAGGCTCTTGTCATGAGCTGCCAAGGCTATGGAAGCCCCCTGAGTTCACCGACTCTGATCATATTTAGATAAGGTCATAGTCAGAGTGGAAGTTCTCTCCTCCCTTTAGAGAAAGGTACCTCTTTTCTCTGACACTCCATTCTTTTCCACTGGGATCTTCACTCCGTGGAGATCTTTCACTTAGTTCATTTTTTTTTTTTTGCCAGAGTGTCCTTGACTTTTTCATGCCTGAACTACTCTCATGGGCTTTTTCAGCCGGATCCGCATGCCTTAAGGACTGATTCTGAGGCCAGAGTGCTGTTTAGGACATCTGCCATTCTATGAGTCTGCTTTGTTTTTTTGTTCTAGTACTAGTGGTTGAACTCTGTAATTAACACACAATTATTCTTCGGTGTTTAAATTTTAGCTGAAAAGTGATCCCTGCTAGGAATTTGGAAAACATTATGCTGAGTGAAATAAGCCAGTCCCCAAGGGACAAATATCATATGTTCTCCCTGATCGGTGACAACTAACCGAGCAACAAAAAGGAAACCTATTAAAGTGAAATGAACACTATGAGAAACGGTGACTTGATCAGCCCTTGCCCTGACTGTTGATGAACAACTTAATACGTTATCCCTCTTAGTATTTTTTTGTTGTTCTTTGTTCTACTTAATACTCTTGGTTGAATACTGTAATCAATACACAGTTATTCTTAAGTGTTGAAACCTAACTGAAAAGTGATCGCTATTAAATATAAGAGTGAGAATAAGAGAGGGAAGAGATGTGCAATCTGGGACATGCTCAAGCTGACTTGCCCCAAACGGTAGAGTTAGAAACATACCAGGGGATTCCAATTCAATCCCATCAAGGTGGCATGTACCAATGCCATCCCACTAGTCCCAGTGATCAATTTCTGTTCACAATTGATCATAATGATAGGACTAAGAGTCAAAGGGATCACATAAACAAGACTAGTGTCTGCAAATACTAGCTGATAGAATAAAAAAGGGAGAGAATGATCCAACATGGGAAGTGAGATACACAGCAGACTCATAGAGTGTCTTAACTCCAGACCAAATGTCCGTCCTCTTTTTTCTTTTAATTTTAGCTTTGTCCCACTTTCACTTTACTAATTATAGAGTACTCCTCTGAAAGTACATTCCATATTTATTATTTACATTAAACAGCTGTCAAGTCTTGGCATTACGATGATGCTGCAACCAACAGATTAGTACATACACACCACTTCAACTTGGGTATACAGGTCTATGAAAGAAATTTCAAAAAGTGCAATTGGTGTATAAAAAGTCACCTACATTTTAATATTTTATACATAATTGTAAGAGTGACACTCACTCTAGCAATTATAAGCAACTCCCAATTTCCAAAATTCCTTGCTTTCTCAGTGTGCTCTTAAAGCTATTTTTCCTTGCCCTGTATAAAATTGAAAAATGAACCACATAATTTTACTTTGCATATCTTTTATTATCATTAAATTTAAGCATTTCACTCTTTATTTTGGCTATTTAGAAAATGTGGTTGCTGTTCTAAACTCATTGATAATCAAGGACTCATCACAGCTTAA